AATTCAGGAAATACTTTTGGCTGGTGTCAGCAGCCCGAAGAGCAGAGCTGGAGAGATGCATGTGAGTTTGTACTCAGCTTCACACTGTGGGTTTCTGGGTCTTCCAGCCGCTGTGTGCTCAGAGCGTTCACATCTTGGGTGAAATCCAGACAGAACTGCTCCTTTATTCCCTTTCTTTTCCATGCACAGAATGAGTATTTCCATTGCACCTGTTCTCTTAAGCTTTGGCAATGTACTTTTTTTTTTTTAACAATGAGACTAATTTAGCCCACTATTTGAAGCATAAACTTGGTCTTCTGTATTACCTAGTTGTGGTTTATCCTAGTCTTTGTTGAAATTCATCAGAGGTCAAGAGAAAAGGATTAAAGGACTTGGTGTGGTCCCTTAACCAATAATGCCATGGGTCCTGGAGAGGTGAGGCTCAGACTGACAAATCTGTATTTATGTGTACTCATTCTGTGAGACTCTGTTCAATTATCGTGCTTTTAAAAAACGTTATTTCATTCTGACTTACCTCTTGGTAGCCTGCATGTTTCCATCACTAGATGAAAGGTTTGTAAGGTTTTTGATTGCAGGAACTACATCTTACTTATCTTTGTATGCCTGGAGTGCCTAATCTAGTGCTGTATCCATAGTAGGAGCTCAAGGAATATTTGGTGTTGAAAGAATGAAAGATTGGACTCAGAAACCTTAACTGGTTTAGAAGCTGGCATCTCAGAGGGCACATGGAGGTAATAGTAGTGTGCGTGGTGCCTCTGCACGTATCTGGGATAAACACCAGGGTGGTTCTAGACGTGGAAGAACTATGCCATGGCCACTGCCTTCCAAGACTGCCACCTCGTTAGGGTTTTGCAGTGTAGAATCCAGGAGGAGCGGTTGGTTCTGGGGTGTGAGGCTGGGAGAAGTATTGAGTCCCTTCTCTGTACCCAGCTCTTCTAGAAGAAACAGTTCCTCCTGAGGGTGGCCCTGGGGGACTGCTGAGGATCTTTCAACAACAGCCAGTTCAGGCCTCCATCATTACCTGAGAGCCTGTCTTTAGGAAACTATGGAGCTGAGGCTCAGAGGTTAGGAATGGTGTCTGGGAGGCCAGAACCAGATATTTATGGGTTGCAAAAACATTTTGGGGGATTTTCACAAGAAGTAGTGACTGGTTATCATCTGAGTGGCTGATTATTAACAACTACAGAAAAACTATTTCCTTCTTTTGGACTAGAAAGGGGGGTTGGCAGGCTATAGTCCTATTAATCTGAGGTGGGGTCTGCATTCTAATGCTTTGGCATTAGGGCTCCCCCTGGACACCAGGGAAGGCTTGGAGGTGGTGGTAGGCAGAGGAGTGATCCTGTCCCTTGGAATCCAGCTCTGGATTCCAAAGTTACATCCTTCAGTCACCCACGTGCCTTGAGAATGTGCAAGCAGCAGGCAGGAGAGAAGTAGAGAGAACTCTGGGGAGCACATAAAATTCCAAACACACTTCTATCCAGCAGCAAACCACGAAAATGCTCCAGGGATGCTCACAATCACAAAATGAAGGCAAAAGCCACACTAGATTTTATGTTTAAATCGCCTGTATCACAATATTGAGCCAAATTTACAAAAGTTTTGGCTCCCTTTTAAAAAATGTCAATATAAAAAAAAAATGTCAATATCATTTGCAACAGACACCACAAATAAAACTAACAGACATCCATCAGTATAAAAGACTCTAAGGATACACTGAATCCGCTCATACTTGATTTAAAGAAGCTTCAAGGACTCTCTGGATACAGCTCAGATCTTGTGGTATGTGTTTTGTCCATCACGTCATTCAATTCCTGGCCCTGACAATAACCCTCTGAGATGGGTGGTGCAACCACCTCCACCATTTTAAGAACTGGGAGGCTGAGGCTCAGAGAGATGGAATCAGGTCATACAACAATCGTGAGGACTTCTGACTCTAAATCCCAGATATCCCCTGACTTTGTAAGATGGGATAGTAAGACCCACTTACTTTCATGAGGATTGGCCATAATTTGAATACTATGCCCGGCACAGTGTAGATTGTAAATGAATGGCATCAGCTACCCACACCTGAGCCCTCAGCTTCCCATCCTTCATTCCCTCGGTGAGGCCAGAGTGGCCACTAATCCACCCCAAGGAGCACAGCTTTCCCCTCACCTGGTGACCCTGCTCCTTCCGATGGAAAACACCCCATTCCATCCCGTACCCTGTCTACTTGGCCGGTGTTGCCAGCTCCCCACTGATTTATTCTAAAGCCTCCAAAGGCACGAGTCTCTGTTACCCTTTGAGGGTTGATTCTGCCATACCAGCAAGAAGCTTGCCCTTTGCTAGTAATTTTAAGACGGCATGTCACTGCCACTTCTTGTTCTGAGAGATTTCAGTGTTGTTGCTGCCAGGCACAACCCTTGCCATCTCACTCTTGGACAAATAATATAATGTCTGGAGCCTCCAAGTTATGGCACTCAGTAACCGTGTTAGGTGCCCATGGGTAATCCGGAGCTGAGAGTTTTAATCTCTCTAGGTTTCAAGTCACTAAGAGCATAACCAAACAGGCAGCCCATTCAGGCTGCATTTGAAGTGACCACCACTTAGAAACAGCTTTCTGGAAGCTACCAGAGATGACCTTATCAGGACCATGATGTAAACTGGGGGTAACTTACAGCTTTGGCTAACTGGGGGAGCAGAAGAGAAACACTAAAGAAAGGTTTTTTAAGCAAGATTTCCTATATCCTATGTTCTTTCACCCTAGGATTTCTTTCAAACAGAATTTGGGCTGGTTAAAATTTTTTAGGGGGGACAGAATGACAGGAATTAACTTCAGACCAGTCCCAGCCAGATTTACAGCCTCATCCACGTCTCTCAGAGCAGGTAGAGAGGGGTCAAAATAGTCGGAGGTCTGTGCACTAAAAGTAGAGTGGAGAGATGGTGCTTCCCAAGGGAGACACCAATAGTTAACTTCACCAGGATTGCTTTGTTTTTGTGAGAAGGCAGCAGGATGGATGAAGACGGGAAGGGTCTTCTCTGAGTGAGGCCGTGAATCTTTGGTCAGTCTCGCAGTTCCTTTTGCCTCACTCCCTTCCTGACACCTGCTCAGGAGCAAGAACTTGGCCCGCCTGGAAATCTGCATTTCTCCAGCACGGGAACTTGCTGGGCCTTTGGCATGTTGGTAAACTCCTATGCATTCTTCTTTTTGACTTCTGGTAGTGTGAGGGGGCTGCTTATGTTTGCTCCTTAACCTCCCTGCTCATCGCTTTTGGGAAACCAGAGCGCTCAGGAGCTGACTTCTTGGGGAGACGTTAACAAGGCAGTCTCCCTTCCTTCTTTCTCTTGTCTTGGTTTTTTCCACATTCATTTTATTGTAGGGGTCATTTTAGAGTTTGTTAGCACTGAGTAAGTTCCTGGATCTAAAATAGTTTCTCTTAGCAGAGATTTTGTGCCTTTTTAATCATTGTTTCACATGACCGCAAAGTGGTGGTTTTTAGGAAATTTCTGAAATTGTGTCTCACAAGACCGCAAAGTGGTAGGTTTTTAGGAAATTTCTAAAATCAACACGTAACAGCTAAAGAGGCTCTTAACATTTAAAAGGAATGAATCTTGACAGCTGCCCGACATAGGCAGTGCCTGGGGGTAACAAGACCATGGCAAAAAAAGGAATTAAACTTCTCTAAGAGTTAGACTGTAAATCCAACATGTAAGAAAATGGGAGCGTTGTGGAGAAAATAGCTTCAAAACACCTGCAAGATTTTGTGAATGTAAGTGACTTGTCTTGTGATTGTGGGTACTAACAATTAGGTTTCTCATCATAAACTGAGCTATCGAGATTTTGGTTTATTACTTTCTTGTGAGGTTTGCTAACGAAGACAGCAACCTCAAGGGGAATCCCGGTGAGGGAGTGATATTTGGTGGTTTAGGGCTTGCTGGACAGAGGACCATGGCAGGGGCTGCCTTGGCACGCTGAGATCAGTCCCTCCATCCCTGTACGTGTCCTCATGCTTCCTGCATGTCTGTCCAGCCACACCACCTAGGCGCTGTGTCAGCAGTTAGTAGTTTTGCTATTTCTTGGCAATATGGGGTCAGACGGTCACATGTGAGAAAAGGAGACCCAATAATTTTCCATGTTGGTATATAGCTTTTGTATTTTCATAGTCCTTTGCCTTTACTTTACCCCACTTGATCACCTCAGTAATCCTGTGAGATAGGCAGGGTCAATGACACAGCAGCCGCTGCGGCTCTTGCAATAGTGAGGTAGAAAGTGCTGCTGTGTAGGCTTGCATTATCACTGCACTCTCTCTGCTAACAGGCTGCAGGTCACCCAGTGTAAATTTTCCAATTACAGATGAGGACAAGAAGACAAACAGGTTTAGCAAGTCAGGCCCAGAGTTACTCAGCTCCTTAGTGGCCGGCTAAGAGCTGGAGTCCTGGTCCCATCTAGTCTGTATCTGTGCTTGTCCCAGCGCTCAGGAAAGTTGTGACAGAAGCAAGAGTCCCCAATTCCCATCAAACATTTCATTTTGGCTCCTTGCACTGTTGAAGAAAGAACAAATCACACATACCAAGGTATCGAGGTATTCTGCAGGTTTGAGAGCCTCTAGTATTTGACAATGGAGCTAGGAGTTAAGATGATGGTTTCATGAGTGACCTTGCAAAAGAAAATATTTTTTAAGTTGTGGGATAGAGTATACATTCGGGAGAGGGCATAAACATTTATGTACAGTTTCAAGACTAATTATAAAGACCAATTCCTAATTCTGTTTAAGAAACAGAACACTATTACCATCCCAGAAGCCCCCACATGCCCCTCCCCAGTCACTAGAGGTAAGTGCCTTCCTGCCGCTGTAATAATTAGTTTCTAGCTTCTCTTCACAGTTTTGCCTCCTAAGTACGCATGCTCAGACAATTGTTTCATTTTGCCTGTTTTATAATTGTTGTAAGTGGAGACGTGCAATAGGTGTGTGTTAGTTCACTCTTTAAACATGTTTTTCCTGTTTCTGTCTTTCAGAGAACCCTGAGAGGAGCATGGCGGCCAAACCCAAGCTCTGCTATTTCCGCGGCAGAGGCAGGATGGAGTCGATCCGCTGGCTGCTGGCTGCAGCTGGAGTGGAGGTGGGTTCCTGATTGGGAAAAAGAAGGAGGGTGACTTGGGTGAGACTGAAGTGGTCCTCCTCCCCCCAACATGCAGGATGGTACCTTCGGGATAAGTCCACTCTTTCCCTTTCTAGCTGTCTGCTTTTGTAATAGGTGAAGGAGGATCATGGCCCTACAGTTGAGCAGGGTTGAGAGGGCAGAAGCCTAGGGAGGTGTCCTGGGAGCTTCGTAAGTCACAGGGTTGGGGAACTGTTTGGTTGCATGCAAGTGAGACTTTCTTTCTTTTTTTTTTATTTGGTATCATTAATCTACAATTACATGAAGAACATAAGCGTAGACTTTCTTCTCCCTGTTTGAATGTCATCTCCCCTAGAACAAGAACTCATGACCATTTTTTATTTTGCTTGGTTTTCTCATCTTATCCCACCCCCATCTCAAGACTTGGGGGACAAAAAAGCCAGTCTTCCCCACAAAAGCTTTAGAAATTCCATCAACAAATAAATGATCTTTGGATCCCTTTCATCGAATATATGCACAGTGAAGAGAAATTTAATGTGGCCTGATATGGAGGGAGAGTAAGAGAAGAGAGAGAGAAAAAAAAAAGAAGAGGAAAGAGAGGAGGAGAAATCGTTGGGGGAAGCTGAGCAACAGGACAAGGGTTTGGAAAGAGGGAAGAGCTAAGGTAAAGAAAAGGAAAAACATGAATGGAACTTGGGGATAGCCTTTAAATAGGCAAAACCGAAAAGCCAGTGCCAGTCCCACAGTCTAAACCGATCTACACACACTGTCGGAATTCTCAGCTGTGTTGTAGTCCGTACCTTTGTGGTTTCTTCTGAAATGTTCATTCTGGAAGCCACTGGGCATTTTATACTGTGAGTATTTCTCTCTCTGTGTCTTTCTCCTCTGAGAACTTTAAAGTTATAACAATGTTTCTATCCTTTATCTAGTTTGAAGAAGAATTTATTGAAACAAGAGAACAATATGACAAGTTGTTGAAGGGTGAGCCCAGATTTATTCAACATCTTATTGGAAAAAATAGAAATTTGTTTCTGGAAATACTCATTTCAGTGTAGAACACAGAACTCTGGAATGACAACATTAGAAAAGGCACATGGCATTACTACTGATGTTGATGGGCGGTTCACCGTGTCCCTGGCACAGAGCTAAGTTTGTTATCTGCATTGCCTCCTTAGCCTTCCTAAAAGCTTATCGAGTAGATAGGACTCTGACCTTGGTTAGTTATGATAGCAGGGGTTGGCCCAGTGCTTCTTGGTTCAATAGTCCCATCCCACTGAAGAATTCTTAAATAACCAAACACTGGGGTGGAGGAAAGAGAGCAAAAGAGAAGGGGAATTTGACCTAAAATATGCTGTAGTTCTCAGGCTTCATATCCACTTTTTCTTAGTGGTTTTAACAGATTAACAGACATCATTTTATCAAGTGACAATTGTAGAATCAAGACTACAGAAAAGATCCAAATGTGATTGCATTTGGAAGAAGTCTGTAATTCTTACGATTCCCCAGAAAAATGTCTCATATTGAGAGAAAAGGCTAGTACTTTCATAGCACTTCTTCACTTCTAACAGCCACAAAGTTATTTTCCTTACCTAAGGAAAACTGGGTGTCACCAATGTTCCTGATAAACAGTCATGAACTTCACACAAACTATTTTTTAAGAAACATATTCAACTAGTAGTCAGTAGACCTGCTGTTTACAAACTGTATGACTTTGGGTGATGCCTTTAACTTCCTGCATTCCCTCTGCTTGCCATAAAATGGAAATGCTCTCTATGGCTGCAGGTCGTAATACACCAGTAGATTCCACTGAATGGGGAAGGCCCGCTTACCCCTTCCCCAGTTCTCATAAAGGACCTTTATTATCTAGAATACCCCTGAAGCCCCTCTTCCTCTTTATTTCTGCTCCAAACAAGGACAGTCACTGGTGGTACACTGTAGGGGTTAAATACGTATGTATTGAATAAATAAATAAAGTATATCTCCAAACTCTTCCATGATCATTCTGGCAGGAAGTGCTCCCTAACAGGTTATGAAATCGCCCAACCCTCCCTGAGTCTGTGATTCTCTTGTGCTTGGGACGCCTTCCTGGGCATGGCTGTTGTTTGTGAACAGGTGACAGGAAAAGCACTGGGCCAGGAGTCATGAGGCCCACTTCTGTAGGCTTGGCTGCTGCCCCGACTGTGAGTTCGAACAACTCACATTTGCCCCCTTGTCCATCATTTATAATATACGAATGAATTGAACCAAATGATCTGAAACCTCCTTTCCTTTACTCTCAATCTGAGATTTTTAAAAATCCTTTTGAAGAGGATCATCAGCTCTTAGAAGCTCCCAGATGATTTCTAGGGACATTCGCATCACATAAGCAGCAGCACAGAGCCCAGCTTTAGATGTTCATGCAGTATTAGACTACCTTTAGGAAATGGAGGTTTTGCCGTGTCCCCATTAATAATAGTTCTGATGCTTACAAAGCATGGTCGCAAGCATGATCTTCTTTCTGTTTGGAGAAACTGGGTAAGATGGGTAAGTCAAATACTGTTACAGGACAGAAAATAGGCTCAGAGAAGTTAGGGACTTGCCTGAAATCATCCGACTAGATGGGGCACTGGCTCCCTGGAAAGCTGCTACTGGGCCCTACGGAAGTGTCCTCCCCACCATCTTCTGCTGCCCTTATTAAGTCAAGTAGCAACAGAATTGGAATCTGGGGAGACGTGTCCTTCTCCAGTGTACTAGTGACGTCTGGTTCCTCTTGTGGGTAAAGCTCTTTATTTTCAACAATGCCAAGGTGTCAATGGAAATTTAAAAGCTGTTTATTTCTTCAAGATCCCATGAAAGCAACACTATTTGTAGTACATTTTTAAAGACATTATTTATATACACAGTCACAAAGAAAATTGATTATTGACAGTATTCAGGGTTTTACTTGTTAGTTCATTTCATCCTTTCAAAATCCTGCTAGGTAGCTATTATTACTATTTTAGAGTAAACGAAGCAGAAGCTCAGATAAGTCATATACTTAAAGTCAGATGGTGGGAAGGGCTAAAGCTGACGTTTGGACCCCGGTGTGCCTGGCTTCTTGCTGTCACACTTGCCCTACAGACCTGGAGTAAAACCTGATGTGCTTTTTAAAAAAGAATTCAGACTTTCAGACTCTACCCCTGAATCAGAATATTTGTGGGGATGGGGGGAGGGGAGTATGAGTATTTTTAACAATCCACCTCTCCCAGGTGATTCTTATACATCCTAAACTGAGAACTAGATGCATTTATACTATAACACAGTCATAGTAAATAAGGAGTCTTAAATGATCATGATTGACCAACACACAAACATTCATGAAATCATCAAGCAAATCTCAAATTTTCCACAGAACAAAAATGGTAGCCATTTCCTCAACAACTAGGGTCTTTAACAGACCACTTTGGGTGAAAACTAAAAATCACACAACGAAATAAGGAGTGGACCCTCCTGTAGACTTACCATAACCATGAAGGGAAGTATCTTAACCTCTGTTTGCTCAAACCACAGATGGACGCCTGCTCTTTGGCCAAGTGCCTCTGGTTGAAATTGACGGAATGGCATTGACCCAGACTAGAGCCATCCTCAGCTATCTTGCTGCCAAGTACAACCTGTATGGGAAGGACCTGAAGGAGAGAGCCAGGTACCAGAGTGTCCGTGCCTGTATTTGATTCCTATCTAAGCTCTGTAGTCCTGCACTGAGACCGGGTTCCGGGGCAGCCTGGAGGGAGAAGGCAAGGGGAACAAAGTGGAGATGTGCATAGCCCTTAGTAGATACTCCAGGTATCCCCCCTTACTACTCACAGTGGTCTGCATTCAACGTTTCCATATTCTCTATGCATTCCTAACAAAATATGTTTTCATCAAGTGACCTGTCTTTCTATATGAAGGTGGAAATGATCCACTCAGCAAACAAATATTGAGCATTATACCAATGATATATTACTACAAATAATACTGTATAACATATCACCTCGAAACACAGTGACTTAAATCAGCAAGCAATTACTATTGCTTACCAGCCCTGTGAGTCATCTGAATGTCAGCATGTCTGGGCCAGGCTTGACTTCTCTTGGCTAGATTCACACCTATGTCTGTGGTCAACTAGTAGCCAGTGGGAGGCTCTGGCTTTGGGTGTTGGCTAAGTACCAACTGGGGGGCAAATGGGCCATGTGTCTCTCATCCTAAGCTTGTTCTCATGGCAGTTAGGCAGGGTTCTAAGAGAGAGAGTGAAAACTCACAAAGCTTCCTAGTTTCTAGGCTCAGAACTGGTACTTTATTAATTCCACTTCATTCTATTAGTCAAAGCAAGTTATGAGCTCAGCCCAAGAAACAAATCCCACCTATTGATGGAAGGAGCTGTCAGGTTTCATCACAAAATACTAAAGGGTGAAGATTTGTGGCCATATTTTTGCATTTATACACCACAAGCCTCTCCCCTGTCCTGTACACTGTGCTAAGCCTGGCTGAGGATAATTGAGTTATTACTCCCAGGAATAGCTTAGTTTCACAGGAGATAAATATATTTGAGACAAAACAAAGACTTGCAACTACAAATTTCTGTCTGGATTGGGATCAAGGCACCTTTCCAGTAGTCCCTGAAATCTCATTACAGGAAGCATGGACATGATGGGATGGTCAGTATGTATGTAGATGACATGGTGGAAGCAAGTCCCAAGCTCAATCATTCAGAAAAAGGAGAGAGACACCATAAGACAGGAATGAGCCAAGCCGGTAACAAGAAGCAGCCCACCCCAGCTTTCCCATAGCTCCATCTTTAAAACAGACTCAGCCATTCTAACCTCTAATCCCAAAGGTATATGGCAAGAAAAGGATTCAGTGTTTTAAATAGAATCCTTTTATAACAATGTAAACAAGTACTAATATGCAAAAAGCAGTCTGTTTCTCATCATTTTGATGCATGTTTTTGATTTTTAAATAAAATCTTTATGTTTTTTTTCCCCCAAGATGTGTGTCCTAAGCTATAGATAGCATAGTTAATATTATTTTCTCCACATTAGGCATAAACTGTAACAGACTGGCAAGCAGGTTAGGTGACAGTCTGACATGGAAGAAAGTGATTTGTAATCCAGCTAGGGCAATGGAGATAAATTATTCTTTTATATATGTTAAAAAGAAGTTTGTACATGTCAGCAAGTGTTTGGCAATGAAGGAAAATTTTAAAAGGAATGAACTAGAGCTGTTTGTCTGTCCTGACTAGGAACATAAACTCTTTCTCAGTTGCCAGGTCAATAGAAGACCTGCTAAATTATCTATCTTCTCTAACTAAATAGGTGAAAAGTTTCTGGCACTGATAATTTTGCACTTTTGTTAAATTTCATTGGGTTCATTTTTTAAAGCCACAATAATTATTCATGTATGGCAGATTTCAGGTTAGAGGCACTCATTAATTCTTTCATACATCTCTTTGTTGAACAAACATTTCCAGAGACCCTAATAAGCCTTAGTCATTTGGCTAAATCTGGTTCCAGAAATTATCTCGAGCTTGGAAGCTTAAGGGAGGGGGAACTCAGAAGTCACTTGCTCCAGTATCTATTTACCCCTTAGAAGTGGCGGTTGGAAAACCCCTTATTCCAAGGATCCCCTTGAACTGAAAGTCACATATGTTTTGCCAGTATTGACATGTACACCGATGGCACCCTGGACCTCATGATGATGGTCGCTCTGGCTGCGTTCAAACCCCCTGAGGAAAAAGAGGAGAACTTTGCTTTAATTGTGAAGAGAGCTAAAACCCGTTACTTCCCCGTCTTTGAAAAGGTAGGCTGCCCGGATCCAGCGCGGACTGCAGCAAGGCCTCACCCTGCGTGGCAGAGCAGGGATGGCTGGCGCCCTGATGCTTTTTTCAGAGACAGTGTGCGTCTGTGACAGCTGTGCACTCTGCTCCTGTGGGCCTGACCTTGCCGAAGGGACCCGAATCCCCCTTCACCCCAGAGAGGAAAGGGGCAGGGGTGGGCGAGACCTGGGAGGGAGCAGAGGGCACAGCACATTCCCACCTCCATTCCCCAGGCTGCAGAGATTCAGACATTTTCTTAGCATCCTTTCAGGAAGGGTCTATAAGTGGCTCTTTTGGTCTTTGTCAGAAAATATCTTCATTTTACCTTCACTCTTTCTTTTTTTGTATTGAGGTACCATTGATATACAATCTTAGGAGGATTTCACATGAGCAACATTGTGGTCACTACATTCACCCATGTTATCATTTACCTTTACTCTTAAATAATTATTTATATGACTATGGAAGTCTAGATTAATAATCATTTTCCCTTAGCACTTTGAAGATATCATTACAATGTGTTCTATCATTACAAGGAGTCTGCTGTTAACGTGGTTATTTGTCCTTGGTTTTATTAATCTGCTTGGTGCCCCTTTCCAGTCTGAAGATTCTTATTTTTACAAAAATTATCCCACCAAATAACACTTGAAAATGGTTTCTTGCTTCTTCTGTCTATTCTCCCCTTCTTAGGGCCTGTTAGGTATGTGTTGGAATTTCATGCTGTTTATGTGTCTCTTACTTTCTTTTTCATATTTTCAATTATCTTTACTCATATCTCTCTGGCAGATTACTGATTATTTTTTTCCAACTTCCCCATAAGTATTTTTATATAGTTTATATTTTTCATTTCAAAATTATATCTGTATTTTTTCAAATCTATATGCTCTTTTTTTTAATTTTGGTATCATTAATGAACAATTACATGAGCAACATTATGGTTACTAGACTCCCCCCATCACCAAGTCCCCCCCACACACCCCATTACAGTCACCGTCCATCAGCAGAGTAAGATGCTGCAGAATCAATACTTGTCTTCTCTGTGCTACACTGCCTTCCCTGTGTGACCCCTCTACATTATGTGTGCTAATTGTAGTGCCCCCTTTTCCCTTTATCCCTCCCTTGCCACCCACCCTCCCCAGTCCCTTTCCCTTTGGTAACTGTTAGTCCTTTCTTGGATTCTGTGAGTCTGCTGCTGTTTTGTTCCTTCAGTTTTTGTTTTGTTCTCATGCTCCACAGACGAGTGAAATCATTTAGTACTTGTCTTTCTCCGCCCCATAGGCTCTTTTTTTCTACATGCCTTCCTTTTGATTATCTCTTTGAACATCTTAAACATTTTTAACTCCTTAAAGAGTTCACTCTTATTTTTGTCTCTGTGGCTCAAAATTCTACTTTTTTTTGTGCCTGTTGCCTCTGTCTCACAGAGGAGTAGTCTCATGTATCAGATAATGCTGTGTGATTTGCAGCTTTGAGCTTGTCCTTGGCAGGAATCACATTCCAGATAGTTGACATATTTGATATATTCCATCAGCTGTTTTTACCTTTGCTTTGGTTGGCATACTCTAGAATTCACTGACTCTAGACATATTTTTCATCTACACTAACATTTATTGTTATTCTTGTATGTATCACAGGAAAAGATGGGCTGCCTGACTTTACCTTCGGTCCTTACTTACGGAGTAAATCTATGTTTTGCACATCTCCAACTCAAAGCTGCATCTGAGGAATTTTTATATTCACTTTTCACTGGATAGTAAACAGCCTCAGCTTTGGGCTTCTGATATCTCATTCACTGGTGACTTATTTCTATTTGTGGTCTAGTGGCCAGATTCTAGGTAACCGTGATGTCTGTGTCTCCCTGTGCTGGTGGGTACTGTTTTATAAGCAGCTCCAGGTTTGTAAGAGAGAACTCCATTCTAACATTTCACCACCCAAGTTTCCAAACAGACTGCAATAATTTAGAGCAATATAAAAAGTGTTGGCTTCATCCTATCCTTCCAACATTCTGGGGGATTATCTAGAAAAGATTGTTTAGTAAATGTGATCTGTACAAAAGATTTCATTTGTGAGTGTTTAGCCAGGCAAAACAGGTTTTACTTGTATCTGATACTCTGTTATTTTTCTTCCTGTAGATTTTGAAAGACCATGGAGAGAATTTTCTCGTTGGCAACAAATTCAGTTGGGCAGACATACAACTGTTAGAAGCTATTTTAATGGTGGAAGAACTCAATGCTTCCGTGCTTGCTGACTTCCCCCTGCTGCAGGTATTGTATTAACGCCAAAAACTGCCCAGGAAAAAATGAATAGAAGCAAAGATTGATGCAGAATGTGCCTCCAAATCAATCTCCAAAGAAACTTAAAACTATTTTAAAAATTATTTTATTCATTTTGGTCATTCTGTCCTGCTCACACTAGAGGATTCTGAGAAAATAAAGCCTTATGAAGGGAGACAGGATAGGTTATTTTGATTTCTAGCATAAATATCTGGTTACTTCCCTTTTTTTTTGTACTTTAAATTTTTTTTTAATGCTTTGTTTTTTTCCTGACAAAGCAAGGCAGACAAGCCTGTCTTTGTTGTTTCCCTCCACAGCTCCTACTGGTATGAGACAACTCTTTCCCCCTTTAGTCCCCCTGTGCCAGGGTCCCCCAAAGTCCCTTGATTGCTCTGAGTTCCTCCTTAGGGGGCACCGCTTATCTCCTACTGCGTTACCCATCCTCAGAGCTCTCTGAGTCCTGCCACTGCCAGATCTTCCCTCTGTTCCAACCCCTTACAAACACTTTATCTAATAGGTAACCAAAAGTTTTCTGGTTTAAGAATAACAGTTTTTCTTATTATGAAAAGATATGCGCGTTCACATTGCTGCACTAGATATTTGTATACATCAAAGAAGAGAAAAAAAAAAAAGGATTTTTAACTAGCTAAATGTTATTGCCTTAGACTCCTTGACTTATTTTACATTTTCCCCCCAAACAGGATCATATGAAATATCCCTGGCCTGCTTTTAACATTTTTTTCTATTATTATAACTGTATTTGCTTCTCAACAGTATTTTTCTGCAGTATCATTTTATTTTCATTAGGCAATAGAATCACATCTTTAAAAAAAATCAGATATGTATAAAAAGGGCATAAATTGAGAACTCTCTTCCCACCAGGGTGCCTCCCCCTTCCTGCCTCTATAGTTACTTTAATTGGTTTCCTGTGTAGCCTTTGAGGATTCCTATTTATACAGAAATAAGCAAATAGGAACATATATTTATTCCTCCACCCCCACCTTTTCTTACACAGAATAGAAGAGTATGAATTCTGTTCTGCCTTGGGTTTTGCTTTTTTTCTTTTTTAACTAAAAAATACATTTTAGGGATCTTTTCAGTGCAGGGACCTTCCTCTTTCCTTTTATAGAAAATATCATTTTAAATTAGTGACTTATAATCCTTGTAGGGATATACCGTAATTTATATAACCAGCTTTCTTTTCTTGGAAACATAGATTATTTTCAACTTTTCATTATGCCTATACCTTAGTTATTCCCTTATGATAAATTCCTAGAACAGGAATAGAGAGGTCAAAGAATATGCATATATTTTAGAGTTTTTAATAGGCACTGCCTCATGTGACAATGATTTTTTTAATATGAGAATTTACCTTTCATTGAACAACCAGCATTTGTGATACCCTACCCAGGAAACACATGCAGAGGAATTCACTCAGATACAGCACACTGGGCCCCCTAAGCTGACAGTGTAAGCACCTCCCTTTCATGACAAAGGTTTCATTTTTTCTTAAAGTTGGGACTGCTCATGAGGCTCTGATTTTACTGTTTCTTATTTCAGGCATTTAAAACAAGAATCAGCAACATCCCTACAATTAAGAAGTTCCTGCAGCCGGGGAGTCAGAAGAAGCCGCCCCCAGATAGCCACTATGTCCAACTAGTCAGGCACATCTTGAAGTTCTAATGAGGACGGCAAATAGTCACAATCCACCACAGCCTCAACACTTACCGCATGGAAGCAAACTGTAGATTCTAGGAGTAAAGTGTTTGAAAAGAACAAAACTATACCGCCATCAACAGCAGATGCCAATTAAATGCAACATAAAACCGTTCTGATGTGTGAAAATTTTTTAAGCTTGTCAGTTGTGGATGACGGTGACAACTTTTTTGAAATCAATGTTCTTTGTGAATAAATAAGAGGCTAATTTATTTAGGGCAGTGGCCTACATAGGGCACTGTTTGTTCTGCATCAAGATTGGGACCATTGGAGGAAGAGGGAACAGAGATCTGGGATGGAGGATCTTTCTATCACTCACAATGATGCTAAGTATTTGGGATAGAAAAAAGTGGCCAATGACAAATCAGGATTAAGATGGTGGCTGACACTAGCAAATGCAAAGAGGGAGAATGGGGGACAGAGAATGTCCGGGGAACATTCTGAGACCTTGAAAATAAACCTGGACACTTAGACAACCCTATTGCACCAAACAGAGCCATCTGAGACTGTGTTTTGCTTTGGTTAAGCAATTGTAGTAACACTGAGATTAAGATAGAGTCAATGAATATTTATACAAATTAACCCAAAGATTCCCTAGCCTCGATATAAGCTCTTTAAGGGCAACTCTTGGGTTCCCAAGTTGTGTAATTTGGAACTCAGCCCCACATCAGGGCTCTGTTTGGTGGGGGATGGAGCTATTCAGAGTGATGTCCTGGGGACAGCTGTGGCCCCTGGGGGGTGGTCTGTGGTCTGGACCAGGGGCCCTGCCAATGGTTTGAGGTACATGACTGGACTCGCTCTAAACTGCTACTCGGTATCACTCCCGGGTTGCACACTTGATCAGTTTCTGGGTGTGTATCCATGCACATGTCCTTTCTGGTGAAATGACTTACCGACTCACCAGGATTCAGGCCATTTCCTCAGTGCCACCACAGGGCAAGACCACTCCTACACTATGCCAGGCCCATTCGTTCTTCCTCCCCAGATTCTCAGAGGATAGGCTGAGCAACAGCTATGACAACCTGGGCCACTAAGCCTACCCCCTCCTAAGCCCGTGTGGGGCCTGAGCTCCTCTCCCAGCTCACTCACATCCCAACCTGGGCATCTGTGTTTCAGTAATAGCCTCGGCCACATCCATGGCCAACGACCAGACGGTGAATAAGACAGAGGGGGAGACAAGGCTTCTCAGAGGAGACCTCTGCACAGGATGACTTTTTCTTTGACCTCCACCAAAAGCCGAGAGTCTGACCTGACAGAAATTAAGAGGAAAAAGAGAAATAAGTTATTTTTTAATGATTCAAAACTGTAAATCAATTTCTTTTTGTTATACTCACATGGTCTTGGTAAATAGTTTAGCAGGTTATATAGTGAAAAATAAAATCCTCCCCTCCCTGGATTGTTTTTAAAAGCAACCAGCGCCTGGACCCTCACTCCTCACCCTGGTGCCTTCCTTAAGCCAAGCACTAGCGAAATTGAGTTTCCAAAGCTCCGAGCCATTTTTGCCTGGGGTTCTACTTAACAGGCTTTGAAAATAAGCCCAGAGCACACCCTAAAGGCACCCAAGGAAGGCTCAGCCAGCCAGTTCCTGAGCTTCATTGCCCCGTAATCCTATAAGGACAACCTGCTGCCTGTCTTCCTGTTAGAGTCCCTGTCTCTTCATTCTTCCCTGTAGGGTTCTCTTTGCAACCGCTGCCAGCTGCCCAAACTAGTAGATGTGACTCTCAGTGCCCAAGGCAGTGATCCTCCGAGATCCCAAGAGCATCCAGTGGTCCTCGCTTCTACTTCCCGCCCCCCGCCACCAGGGACTTGGCTTTGGGCTGAAAAAGAAACGGGAGTGAAGGAGTCAGCTCAACACGCCCATAGAAATGGAGGGGTAGGTCCTTGGTCCTCTCTTCCAGAAGATCCTGGGACGGAGATCCTATTTCCAGGGTTGTTCTCTCATTTCAGGAGTTCAGCCTTCTTTCTGGCAAGTAAGAATTTCCTTGTCAGGGACTACAAATCTCCCCTGTTGTTAAAGCCTATTGAAAAACTTTTTTTTGTTGTTATTTGGACCTCATCCTACAAAGAATAAAAACCTGGGCAGTGGCACTATAATGACGTAGTTAATCCTCTCTTTAGATTCTGACCTGGGTGTCAAGGCATGTGACTGCTGCATGAGTTTCCTGGCCCGGGGCCAGAGGAGGGAAGGTTCAAGGAAGTTACCAATGGCTGCTCCACTGGCTCTCCAGCTCTGAGCAAAACTGGGAAAAGGGATGTGTTGTTAGTTTTGGTCTTTGATGATGGGGGCGGGGGGCGGAGGGCAGGGGTGTAGCTGTTGCCTTTAAACAAGGAAGGAGGTCTATTAATTAGCACATACGTTTGAAAGAACGAGTGGGAATTCAGGGACTTTGAGCCTGTCAGGATCGCTCCATACCATTCATTCCAGGTTGACTTCAGATGTTTCCCTGGTTCCTGATGGGGGGCCCTGGGGCCAGACTGAGAATTGCTGCAGCCACAGTGGAACCATGTGGAGGAGGCGGCAGAGGTTCTTCCCAGGAGTGAGGCTGGTGTTACCAGGAGGAGAGGTGAGAGATGCTGGGCAGACAGACCCAAGAGGTTCAGCATCATCTCCGCAGTTTACAGATAGGGGAAGTGAGGAAAACAAGTCCCTTACCCTGTGCACCAAGCTCCCTCTGTGTTGAGCTGCCAGCAGGAGTTACGTCCTGCTTCTGGGCTGAGAAAAACTAGAGCCAAGGGGAGGAGACAAAGGTGTCTAAGATCACAAGCTAATGAGTGGCTGAACGAATACCCAGATCCAGGTCTTTTCAGGGTATTTGACGGCTGCCTCAAGCTGGAACAAGGATGATGGCAGCATGGAAAGCTAGAGAGAGGTGGTGCTTTCCATGGTGTTCAGTTTGGGAGATGGAAGATAGTTAGGAAATTGTCTTTCCCAGTTGCTTAAGGCATGGCAAATCTGGAGATGGTGTTTCCCTTCACAGCCCTCAAAAGCCATTATAATACTGAAATTGTATATTTTATTTTTTTTTGCTTTTGTTTTTTTTACCCCAAACTCTTCCCATCCAGTGTCTATTGGATCCTTCCTAAAACCTTGTAAGGATGGGACTTCTCTCTTTCAGATTATAACACGATTGAAACTTGATGCTTTTTTTTGGATATAACATTTTATTCAAGTAAAAACAAACATGCAATAAGGGGGCAAATCTTAAGTTTACAGCTCAATATTTTTGTGTTTGTTGTTTTTACAGATGCTGTAAAAAAACATTTCTGTTTTTTTAAATAGCACTGCGGAGGTGTAATTTGTATACTGTGAAATGTCCAGCGAGCGTTAGTGAGGTTATGGAACAGGGCAAGCACCACCTCTCTCCAGCTTTCCAGGCTGCCATCATCCGTGTGCAGTGGACTGTTGTTCCCAGCTCAGCCCCAGATGACACCTGATCTGCCTTCTGTCAGTTTGCTGACCTCTCCAAAATAAAGCTGAACCCATCACCCCAAGGCAGGAATCCCGAGCCGCCATTTGGGCTCTCTCTTCCTGCAGGGAAGTCCCTCAGAACTGCCTTCCTAAGTGAGCAGCTGTCCCACCAAAGTTGCGGCGCCTTCTCTCCCCAGTGAATGAGATGAGGCGTCACAGACTCCACCAGGGAGACACTGTCAAGGTCCGGCGAGGAAATCTCAGAAGGCCCTGACTCCGTAGGGACTTTGAAGTATAATCTCAAGAAAATGGGATGTAATGCGAAGCAGGCTCTAATTCAAGTAGCCATTTTATACAGCATTATGCAAAGGGCAGGAACTTGCAGACTGTTTTAACACTTGAACATGAATATTCTGGGCCCCTTAGCACAGAGCTTCCCCATCTGTGTGCCCTGGATGGGATGTGGGGAGCCAAGATATTCAATACCTCAGTCCTAGGGCAGCTGGTAAACCTCCTGGTTTACCTCTAGGCTTCTCTCTAGCAGATTATGAAAGGTTAGGGAACTGCCCTGGGGGAACTGATGGTGGACCCCGAGTTTATAGTGAGTTTATAGTCAAACCAGCACCCCACTCTCCTACTTGCATTCTGTGTTCATCACAGGTTCTCTTTGCAGGCTTTTCTCCAGGGTTGGAGGTATGCTGACCAGCTATCAGGAACATTCTGACCTTCCTGGCAATTAGTTTCTCCTTGTAAAATAAGAGATAGCTCTGGTTTGGATAGATGTCTGGTGTGTGTTTTATTGTGGTGAAACAGATATAACATAAAATTGACGGTATTAGCCATTTTGAAGAGTACATTTCCGTGGTATCACACACATTCACACTGTCGTGCAGCCGTCGCCACTACCCATGGTCAGAAATGTTCCGTTGCCCCAGCCCGGAGCTGCCCACCTCCTGCCCTATCCCTGCAGCCTCCGGACACCACCATTCTGTTTTCTGTCTCTGTGAATTTGCCTGCCTCATGTAAGTGGGGTCCTTGCTGTCCTTTCATGTCTGGTTCATTACACTTAGCATGGAGTTTTCAAGGTTCATCCATGTAGTAACATGTGTCAAAATCCTCTTCCTCTCCAAGCCTGTCTTGTGTATTTGTCGTGGAAGGAAGTTCTGTCTTGTGTTACCTCCAGAGGCACTTCACACAGTCGTGTTTTGGGCTGACGCGCAGACTCGGGCCTGGATGGCCCTGCAGGACCCCACCCCCTCTGCCTCAGAAGCCAGCCGGGATCCTGTTTTTTCTGGCTTCTCCAACCACAACATTCTTTCCCTCCACAAGTTATTCGCGGCGTTATATAATCTCTCCCTGCACAATTTGTACATTTTACCTCATGTTTAATGGTGTTACAAAGCTTTGTCCCTTCTAAGAGGATTTTCAGGTATCAGGAAATAGGTACAGATATATCAGGGATCAATGGTCTTTCATGCTGAAACTACACCACCTAGAAATTACTTTAGACAAAGGTCGTGAGAGAAACGTAACATTTGTTGGGCACTTTCTATGGACCAGGCTCTCTTCCAGGAGCTCTACATTCATGACATGATCTAAGCCTTTCAGCATCCTTCCGAGAGACAAAGGATCATTCAGGTCTGTACAGATGAGGAAACCGCGACCCTGAGAAGCCAGAGGCCCTGGGTTCCCAGAGGCATGACCAG